TTTAAGGTTATACTGGAATGGTTCCTAAATGCGTGCATCTTGACCTGCCATAGCTTCAATTATGGGTGGGGACTTCATGTAAACCAACTGATAATATGAAAGAAAATATTCAAATATGTACTTTTATTAAATGACGTTTTAATGATATAAAGGTATGAATAAGGACATCTGGAAAATAATATGGCTGTTCTGTTCCTTGCCTCTCTCTCTTTCTCAGCCAAATGCCAGGTATTCAACCTTAAGCCAGGCATTTATCCAGTTTTCATCTTTAACTAACTTTCGGATTTTAATTGCCAGTCCACTGCCCTTTCCATACAGTAGAAGAAACCTTCGAACACTAACAGTGTCAGGGATTTTGGGTAGAGGACAATATATCTTTGGCCGTTTGATGCCAATTGATGTGGTTTACAGACTTTATTGTTCTATAGGCATTAAAAACTCTGTTGCGGAAGTCAAACGCACCGAACAGAGGAAAGCAGGGATGATTTTTTTCTGTAACCAGATTTGGTGGAAATAGAAATGGAACCGCAATGACATCACTGTCCCTCTGCTCTGGACAACTTTCTGTCTCACTGTTCCTCTGCTCTGGACAACTTTCTGTCTCTCTGTCCCTCTGCTCTGGACCACTTTCGCTCTCACTGTCCCATTGCTCCAGACAACCTTCTTGCCACACTGTCGACCTGAACTGTGCCACCTCTCTCTTTGCCCATTGCACCTGTTCTACTCTTAAACTGATCAGTTGGATTTAGACTCATGTAGTGTTCCCCTTCATTTTCAGGAAAGTAGCCAAGATATATCACTAGAATCTCTTGGGAGAACTTGTGTCACTGTTCCGTTTACATCAAAGATTCTGACCTCTATCATAAGATTGTTGATACAACCATGAGAACCTACCGCCTCCGTGGTGTAGTGGCTAGAGCGTCCGCCCGAGAGCGGAAGGTCGCGGGTTCTATCCCCGGCCGCGTCATACGCGTCAAAAGACGTTAAAATATGGTACTTGTTGGTCCAAAAAATGTTCACTCTGTTGATGCAGAAAAATGTTCACTCAATTAGTTTATAATTTCATGCACTAAAGATATTTGTTGTCAAAAGGTTATATTTTTATGTTGCAAAGTACAAAGTTCTAAAATAGTGTAGTAATTTTCATTGTAAAATTTAGTTCAGATGAGGTTCAGAAAGTCTAGCTTGGCTATAACTGTTATTAGTTTTCCAAAAAGTATTATCATGATTGTCATAACAGATTACTTCCCCTTATTGTGAGTGTTGCTCCTCATCAGAGCACATGGCTTGTCACTGCCTCCATGTTGGAGACATTCAGCTGTTTTAGTTGGCATGAACACAAATGTGAGTAGCATTGTTTGCTATTGTAATATATTTCAAGGCATAATAAGGTAATATTATTTGAAGGTTTTGTTAATTGTACATATTATTCATTTATCTTGTAACTGTTAATTTGAAGTAATTTACTTAGACTTGTCATGTAGTTTGACTGTTAGGAATAATTGAGTGTTAGGAATAATTTACTTAGCAAGTCTGTATTTCTGCTTTGTAGTTTTCTGAACCTCACCAAGCCAAAGAAAGAAGTCAAAGTGAAATTGAACATTGAACGTATACCAGAATAAATTATTGGTGCGAGTAAAGAATTTTTGTGTCTTGCATCCACATCAGTTCAGAAAATTTTTCTACCATTGCCATATGATGTTGGAGCTGAAGAACGTTGACCATCAGAACTTTAATGCCAAATAACGTCAGTAGTGTTACCCTAATTGGACTTAGTGAATATTTGTAAACATTTGTTGCCTGCATAATGACCATCATAGTATAGTGTAACGTGTAATGTGCTATGATGGCAGCGGCAGAGGATGATGTGTTTTATCTGCAGGAAGAACAATCTAATTTGACATTGAATGAACAATCTGATAATGTGGAACACAGAGTGCAAACTGTAGAGACTTCTGGTGAAGGTATATCTCCAGTTGACCAGTTCGAGGCTAACCACACTAATGCTAAGTCTGTCAGAGAGTCAGGAAGAGTTAAAACTTTGACTGAGAAAGGGAAAGTTGAAAGGTTACGATGGTCAAAGAATCGACAAATTGCAGCGCTTTCAGCCATAACGAAGAAGAGAAATGAACTTTCCAGATTAATGTTGAACAGTGGTAGTGACAATTTACATTCAGTGAAGTTTTGTTTTGTGGAGTTGATTGATTTGTGTAAACAGTATCACACTTACTTTGCTTCCTATTATGAGCAGCTTGATTCTGAGGCAGATAGAGATTGTGAGAAAACGTTATGAAGAAAAGGATATTTCTATTTCTAGCTTTAGAAAGGTAGTTGAAGGTTGGATTTCAAATGAGAGACTATTGTTAGATAAGTGTGATAATCTGTCAAATAGGGGTTCCCAAGCTTCAGGAAAAACTACAAGTTCAACGAGATCGGCTCTAGCTAAGGAAAAGGCAAAATTGGCTGAACTTCTTGCAGAAAAAGACATGTTGGAGGAAACACGTAAAATGAAGGAGCTTCAGTTGAACATAGAAATAGCTAAGACTAGGGCAAGAGAGAAGGTTTATGCTGATATAGACTTGGAGCTACAGGGTGATTCTAACCTCAATGTCCCCAGTCAGGGTGTAGGTGCTGTTAAACACGAAGTTAAACATGAAGAACCTCAGACAGAATACAAGCCTCAAGGTCTGAACCCAAATGCAAGTTATTTTACTCCTTCAACACAAGTTCACCCACCTTTGACTATGAATACTATGCATTCATCTGTTCAGCAAACATTGCAGCCTACTCAGAATGATGTGCTACTGCAAACCCACAGACAGATGACAACTGCCATGTTTCTTCCACAACCTGAAGTACCCAAGTTTAGGGGTGACCCAACAGCATACAGCTCATTCATGATGTCATTTGATGCTAGGATAGTTCCTCACACCACAAACAGTATAGACAGGTTGTACTACCTGGACCAGCAGCTGGAGGGGGGAACCAAAGGAGTTGATAGCTGGATGTTTGTACATGGCACCAGTGGAGGGATACATGAAGGCTCGGGAGTTGCTTGCTGGAGAATACGGGGATCCATACAAGGTTTCTACAGCGTACGTCAATCAGGTACTTTCATGGCCAGATATTAGGCAAGAAGATAGTCAGAAGCTGAAACAGTTCTCATTCTTTCTCACCAAATGTTCACATGCTATGAACAATATATCTCATATGACCGTCCTGAACCATGCACCAAACTTGCAGGCTATAGTACAGAAGTTGCCTCAATACCTCCAGAACAAGTGGCGAGATCACATTACTAAGTGCAGGATCCAGAACAACAGGATGATTGGATTTAAAGATCTCGTGGAGTTCATAGACTTTGCAGCCAAATCAGCGAATGAGCCCATTTTCAGTAAAGAAGCAATGAGTAAAACTGAAAGTAATCGTGGACATACTCCTAGCAGAGGATTTAGGAAGGACAAGCTGATTGCTAGCAAACCAAGGTCTAGCACTTTCGCAACAAATGTCGGACAGAACTACACTGATCACAAGAAGAAAGTATCCTGTCACTTCTGTTGGAAAGCACATGACATCGATGACTGTGAAGCCTTCAAGCAAAGACACTGAACGACAAAGCGTACTTACTTGAGAGAGAAGCACACATGTGTTATGGATGCTACGGATACAACCACGCTGTCAAAGGATGTCTAAGAAGAGAATATGTAGGAAGTGTGGAAAACGTCATCCAACAGCACTACATGACGATAACTTTCAAATGAGACACAGCAGTCAACATTCAACAGACACCAAGTATCAAACAGAAGGCAGCGGCAACCAAAGGATTTAACAGAAACAGTGTCATCTTCTTGTAACAGTACCAAGTCTGACTCGGTGGAAACTGTGCTACAGTCGATTCTACCTGTCATCGTACGCCAGCAAGGTAACAGTAAAGCGGTGAAGACTTATGCACTCTTAGACAATGGGAGTACTGGTTGCTTCATCACCGAGACACTCAAAGATCAACTTGGCGCATCAACAACTACGACAACTCTGAAACTACAGACTATGCATGGTGTAGATATGGTAGAAACCTCAGCTGTAACTGGCCTCACTGTAACCGACAATCAGGACAATCATCCAGTCTATCTTCCTAGGACATTTGTAAAGGAAATACCAGTTAATCATAACCAGATTCCTGATCCAAAGTTTCTCGAGCGATTCTCTGATCTTGAAGATATGGCAAGTAAATTACCTGAATTTTACCCGGAACTTGAAGTTGGTCTCCTAATTGGAAGTAACTGTCCTTCAGCCTTACAGCCTCAAAAGGTGATTCCATCAGATGGGGATGGTCCGTTCGCAGTGTTGTATAAGCATGGCTGGACGATTAACGGGCCTCTACATGTGAAGTTTAATAGTGAGAGAAACACTCTTGTCTGCAACAGAGTCATCCTTTGCGAAAAGAGTTCTGTGAAGGAATGTCTAGCTCCGAGTACTATCGTTAGGATCTTCGAACGAGACTTCAGTGAGCAGGATCTCGGCAAAGTACCAGGGGAGAAGGGCTATTCAAGAGAAGATAGGAGATTTATGGAGACAGCAGAGGAACAGGTGAAATATGTCAATGGTCACTATGAGCTTCCATTACCATTCAGAGATGATACATTATGTGCAAACAACAGGACTCAAGCACAGAGCAGAGCGAAATGGCAAAGAGAGAAAGAAAATGCTCCAGAATGAACAGTACTACAAGGATTATGTAGGTTTTGTTGATAATCTCCTTGAAAAGGGCTTCGCGTACAAGATACCTGAAGGTCAACTGTCAGCTGAATCACAGAGAATTTGGTATCTTCCGCACCATGGAATCTATCACCCCAAAAAGCCAACAAAGATCCGTGTGGTTTTCGACTGCAGCGCCAAGTATGAAGGAACATCATTGAACGACAGGCTTCTGCAAGGTCCCAGACCTCACAAACTCTTTGATAGGTGTTTTGACAAGATTCAGAGCTGAACGGATAGCATTCATGGCAGACATAGAGTCCATGTTTTACCAGGTGAAGGTGCCAGTGACTCAACATGACAGCCTAAGATTTTTGTGGTGGCCCAACGGTGATCTCAACGCTGACTTACAGGAATATAGAATGGGTGTACATATCTTTGGAGCAGTCTCCTCTCCCAGCATATCCAACTTTGCATTGAAAGCCACAGCCAACAGGGCAGAAGAAAGGTTTGGCAGTCTCGTAGCTGATGTAATCAGAAAGAACTTTTACGTTGATGACTGTTTAAAATCTGTAGAAGATGACAAGACAGCTATAAAGCTAATCTATGACGTGAGAGCCGCATGCGCAGATGGGGGTTTCAAATTAACCAAGTTCACTTCAAATAGCAGAAACGTTTTGAAGTCAATCCCAGTTGGTGATCATTCCAAAGAGATTCAAACCCGTGACCTGGATTATGATGAACTGCCAATTGAACGTGCTCTTGGGATGAAATGGTATGTAAATACAGACACATTTGGATTTTCCACCGACTTCATTGAGAAACCAGTCACACGTCGTGGTCTACTATCCACGGTTTCATCTCTGTATGATCCCCTCGGTATCGTTACACCTATCATTCTTCCCGCTAAGCGGATACTTCAAGAATTGTGTGCCAACAATGATCTGGACTGGGATGATGATATACCAGGAAAGTATGAAGTCTCATGGAAAAAGTGGTTGAAGGAGCTCAAGCTACTTGAAACTCTGAAGATTGAACGATGCCTGAAGCCTGCTGAGTTCGGTAAAGTTGTATCTAAACAGGTTCATGTGTTCTCTGATGCCAGCTCGGTAGGGTACGGCTGTGTAGCTTATCTTCGGCTTTCTGATGCTGAGCAAAATGTCCATGTTGCTTTTCTAATGGGAAATCAAGACTGACTCCTGTGAAACCTGTAGGTATTCCACGTCTCGAGTTGACGGCCGCTACAGTCGCAGTTCAAATAGCTCAACTTATGCTGAAAGAACTTGATACAGATATTGATAGCGTGACCTACTTCACAGACTCAACGACTGTCCTCCATTATATCAACAGTGAGAAGAAGAGATACCCAGTATTTGTTGCTAATCGTGTGAGATTGATAAGGGACTACTCTGGGCCAAAAGATTGGAAGTATGTAGAATCTGATGAGAACCCAGCGGATATAGCATCCAGAGGAGCTAGCACAGCACAACTACTGGCGCAATCAGACTGGTTTGAAGGACCACAATTCCTCTGGAGATCTGAATCAGAATGGAATCTGAAGCAACCCGGACCGGCAGAATCTGTTGTAGAGGAAACAGTTGCAACTACGTGTGTATCACCAACCAAGATGCAATGTGAAGGGCTTGACACTTTGATTAAACATTATTCAAGTTGGTATCGTCTTAAGCGGGGCGTAGTCATATATCTCCAACTCATCAACAACATCAAAGCTCGTATCAGGAAAAAGAAAAGGTAAAGTTGAATCGGGGGTATATAACAATAAACCGCTTTTCACAGTTGAGAAACTTGAATGTGCAGAGAATATCATCATGAAGTTTGTGCAGTCCAAGAGTTTCGACAAGGAAATCCATGTACTTACAGCAGTTGAACGAGGCCGAGTACCGAAGCACAGCTCGGTCTACAAGCTGGATCCATTCATCAACAATGGAATTCTCAAAGTAGGTGGCAGACTCAGCAAGTCTCAGATCCCAGATGAAATGAAGCACCAGATTCTTCTACCCAGCAAACATCATGTCACAAGCCTGATCATACAAGACATACACAAGAAGCTTGGCCATGTGGGACGAAATCATGTACTTTCGAAGCTACGAGAAAAGTATTGGGTCATCAGAGCGAACGCAACCGTGAGAAACATACTGTCCCATTGTGTCACCTGTCGAAGACTGAAAATGCCTCCATGTGAACAGAAGATGTCCGACCTACCATTCAGCAGAGTGAATCCAGCGCCGCCATTTACATACTCAGGTGTAGATTTCTTTGGCCCGCATACCATCAAAGAAGGTAGGAAACAGATGAAACGCTATGGAGCACTGTTCACATGTTTAGCGAGTAGAGCCATACACATCGAAACGGCCAACTCTTTGGACACAGACTCATTCATACATGCCTTGCGTCGCTTTATAGCACGACGTGGACCTGTCAAAGAAATATGGTGTGACAATGGCACCAACTTCATTGGAGCTGCCAGAGAATTGAAAGAAGCACTAGCAGAACTTGATCAAAACAGCATCCACTCTCACCTACTGCAAGCCAACATCGACTGGAAGTTTAACCCGCCATCAGCCAGTCACATGGGTGGGGTATGGGAACGCATGATAGGTTCTGTACGAAGATTCTATCTCCCATGCTGTATGAGTTCGGGGACCGTTTGGATGACGAAGCATACCGTACCCTGCTATGCGAAGTAGAAGCCATCGTCAACTCCGTCCACTCACCACAGTTTCCAGTGACGCCACTGACCTGAACCCCCTAACGCCAAACCATTTGCTCATGATAAAATCCAACGTTTTCATCGCTCCACAAGGTAAATTTCAACGTGATGATGTCTACATGCGTCGGAGATGGAGAAGGATTCAGTATCTCGCAAATGTATTTTGGACAAGGTGGAGGAAAGAATACCTGTATTCCCTACAAGAGAGACAAAATGGAGTACACCAAAACGCAACATTGAAATAGATGACATTGTACTCATCAAGGATGAAAATGCACACAGATCATGCTGGCCCATGGGACGAGTGATCAAAGTTGAAAGCCTGACAAACAGGGCTTTGTGAGAAGTGTGATACTGAAAACTCAAAGTACAGAACTGCGCAGACCTGTACACAAACTAGTACTATTACTTCCAAAGACGAGTGAAAAATATGCTGATGTGTGAAATTTTGTGAAAATTGACATTGTGTATGAATATGTGGCCATAGTTATGGGCTGTATGTTATTTCAGATTGTTTCTGCATTGTGAGAAGTTTGTTAAACAATGTTGTTTAAGAGGCCGAGTGTGTTGATGCAGAAAAAATGTTCACTCCAATTAGTTTATAATTTCATGCACTAAAGATATTTGTTGTCAAAAGGTTATATTTTTATGTTGCAAAGTACAAAGTTCTAAAATAGTGTAGTAATTTTCATTGTAAAATTTAGTTCAGATGAGGTTCAGAAAGTCTAGCTTGGCTATAACTGTTATTAGTTTTCAAAAAAGTATTATCATGATTGTCATAACAGATTACTTCCCCTTATTGTGAGTGTTGCTCCTCATCAGAGCACATGGCTTGTCACTGCCTCCATGTTGGAGACATTCAGCTGTTTTAGTTGGCATGAACACAAATGTGAGTAGCATTGTTTGCTATTGTAATATATTTCAAGGCATAATAAGGTAATATTATTTGAAGGTTTTGTTAATTGTACATATTATTCATTTATCTTGTAACTGTTAATTTGAAGTAATTTACTTAGACTTGTCATGTAGTTTGACTGTTAGGAATAATTGAGTGTTAGGAATAATTTACTTAGCAAGTCTGTATTTCTGCTTTGTAGTTTTCTGAACCTCACCAAGCCAAAGAAAGAAGTCAAAGTGAAATTGAACATTGAACGTATACCAGAATAAATTATTGGTGCGAGTAAAGAATTTTTGTGTCTTGCATCCACAAACATTGTTGCATTTCACTTGTGTATTTTGAGGTGAGATTTTTAAAGAAAATATTTGTCTGTCTTCCAAGAAAAGTAACTAATACATTAATTCCATAAAGAAAACTGTTTTGCTATTAATTAGCAAACCTGAAAACAAAACTGGTTTCTCAACAAACACAATACAAAAAACTGATATCTGCAGAATTTCAAGTTGAACCTTGGTTATAATTACCACACCCAATATCATGAAAAGTAAATAAACCACTTCTTGAGATACAGCGCAAACCAGTTGTTTGGACAGACAGACTGACTGACGGACGCTACATGCGCGTTGTGGGATAAAAAAGGCCAAAAGTTAAAACTTCCTTGAATAGGACATAATGAATACAACTCATATGACCATTTACGTAAAAGTACTATGACGAAGAAAATGATTTCCTTGGATACTGTCGAATATAGATTATGATATCACGTATCTCTCTATACAATGTGGATTCCACATGTATCGGCTTTGCTTTGATGTTAAATGAATTAAAAGATCAGATTTTAATTAAGTTAGAAATGAGGTTACTTTCGACAGAAATATTGCAATAGCTTAGTTATTTTGAAAAACAATAAAGTAAAGTTTCTTAAAAAATGAATTTCAGTCCCCAAGACTTATAAACAACCATAAAGTTGTATTTTACAGATTCCGTTAATCTTTTACAAATTGCGTTAAATTGTTTTTACATTTTGCGTTAGGTGTTCACATATTGCGTTACATTTTTTACATTTGGCGTTAATTATTTACATATTTCGTTATTTTTTACGTTTTGCGTTACGTTTTTACATATTGCGTTAGTTTTTACATATTGTCTTGATATTACATATTGGGGTTGTACAGGCGTCTGACTTTGTGTGCTGGCGATCATGTACCTGACTCTGAGGTTCTGGGTTCTAATCCCGGATGGGACTCAACCCAGCAAAAGTACTAGAATCGGTACTTTACTGAGAAGTGTAATCCCAAATCTAACGTGTTACATTTAGCCAGACTTGCCTAGTATACTAACTGGACTATTTAAGAGATTTCAATTAATATTCCAGGATCGTGTTGTCTGGTCTGGATTATTAGGGATGAGGATGACCCTGTGGTATCTGCAGACATAATGGTGGGTGAATGAATGAGTAATGCAACATTTTTAGGCTGTTCTTCAGAAAGCATTTCAAGCTTCTTAAACATCCCTAACTATTGGACCAACTCTCGGGCAAATACATCTGATGTGCATCAATATGCATTCAAGCAAACAACTGTAAATTTGGTACTTAGAAATATCAAAATTAACCAAACATTGTATTGGCAGGCATGTGCAGTCTTGAAGAGCGGGGCACGTTGAGGCAAATCAAGAACTTTTTAGTCGTTAAAGGACATTGATCTTTCGATTACAAATTGTTTCACAAGCTCATGGGAAGCTCATAGAAGAAAAACAAAACAAAACATGTATTTGTTTATATCGTACAGACACCTCTGGCTGCTATGTACGCAGACCAGTCTAGACAAAGAAATTATGTAGATGTTAGTGGTCGTAATCTGTACATTTTTGATGTCGAGAAAGGATTTAATCCATTACAGAAGGGATTGGGTGGGAACAATAGACTGGTGCCATATGACACGTGGCGATAGTATATATTATTATTCCAAATAACATGACCATGCACGATTCAATACATCCTACATTGAGCTGGAGATATTTACAAATTGCAACTACTTTATGGCTCACTAATTGTCTTGATCTGCTTTGCGCGTATTATATATTCACCTGGAAATGCCATATATTTAATGCAATCAATATTGAATATCTTACCCCAGGTGATGTTGTTTTCTCCCAGATCAGACTTTTGAAGGTAGAACTTGTCAACCTCGCAGGCGCTCTCTCTTGTACAGCAGCTTCCCGTCTATGCGCTACGGTTTCTGAACCCCCTTTTGAACGTTTCTTTTCATACTTCGTCATGAAGCAAGCTATACGTTATATACGGTCTCAGATAGTGAAAACAACACTGCAGTCATGACACGTGAGACTGCGCCTTCAACTCAAGGGTGTCACTACGGATATTCTCACGTGAGTAATCCAACAGTCGCAAAAATGACATTTCAGCAATTGTCAATTATATAATGATTTATTTAAAGTGTTATGTCACTTTGAAAATAAAAATAACAAAACCTCTTGGAAAAGTTGTCATGTGCCATGATATGTAAGTAGATTTACCATTTATCAATACTATTTGTGATTGCATGAAATAAGGCTTTCCAAATGCATATGTTTTTAAAATACTCACTTTTATTGTTTTGTAGAAAATATAATATATTGAAATTACTTTATAGCTTATTTGAACAACCACTAAAGCGTTTATAACCGAGACACTAAAGGCGTGGTATTGCCCTGAACTAATTGTGTGTATTTATCCACATTTATAATTGGAATTAGGCATCTATTATTTTTTCAAATAGGAAGGAAGCTATGCCAGAACGTTGCCAGTGTACAACCCCCCAACCCCAAAAAACAAACAACAACAACAACAAAAAACCCCAACAAAACAAACAAACAAAACAAAACAAAACAACAAAATCTGTTTACTCAGCATAAATACATTTGATACAACGGTCAAATCATTTTATTACATCTCAGTCCGTTTAACTACACTTGGCATTAATGACTATATTCAGGAGAACTGAATATTTGCCATTCATACAAATTGACAATAATTGTTTTGGTTGTACAAGGAAAGGAAACAATTAAATCGTCAGTGGGGATTCACTTGAAAACAAAGGTGATGTATGTTAAAATCTACCTCCCAAAAACAATGTCAAATACAACAGGCACTTATCTGATAATTGTTAAACTTTTACTAATGAATCGATTGTTGTTACGAGTATTCCTGATAGGTCTCTTAACCCCAATCACTGTCCACACTAGGTCAGCTGTTCCTAGACAAACTAAGTGTGGACAAGGGCTTGTAACTCTGTTTGTTTAAGTAAACTGAAAACCACCCATTAGTACTTTGTCAAAACAGAGAACGGAAGTATTACGATTTTGGGATAAGCTGCACCGTATGGCACCCGATAGACTGTCTGCTGTTATTAGCAGCTGGTCACGGCGTTTAGCCAAATCATGGGATAACATAGTGTCATCTTGACTACAATCGTTGCATCTCCCAGTGCGAGATCTGCTACACATGTATAGTAGTCAACTGACTTTGTCATTTCAACATATACAGTTGTTAGATCATCAGGAGTGGCTACAGGAATTGTGGAATGACCACAATTGTGGAACGGTAATAAGCTACGCACATATAGACAGTTTAAGTACGGTTATCACTCCAGAACCATACATAACTTCTATACTGCCTAGACGGCACCGTAGCGTTCTAGGTAAACTACGCTGTGGTACACTTCCATTAGAACTAGAACGTGGTAGATTTTCTCGTCCTAAGACGCCACTGGCAGACAGGCTTTGTCGTCACTCTAGTAGTTAGGCTGTCGAAGACGAAGTCCATTTATTAGATGACTGTCCCTATTACTCTGATCTGCGGTATGATTTGTTTGCAACAAGCTAGTATTGTACACCCAAACTATCCCCAGGTATCAAACACTGAACAAGCTGCATTCCTCTTACAAACAAAATATTTTTAATCCACAGGCCGCTACAGTTAGCCGTATCTAGATCTTTCATATTTGTGATAATCCTTTTATGTTTTGCTTATATTTTATACATTTTATGCACATATTGTCTAGTGTGTCTCATTGGCCATTTGGTCTGGTGTTTGTATATTTTATGTTTTTACCACTGCCTTTTTAATTGCAATGTACATTCACGTGACAAAAAAATAAACTATTTTGTCTGTCTGTCTGTATTCGCTTTGACCTATTGTCTAAGTATACTTTGCATTCAAGAATCACATAAACTAATAGATCAATACTTTTCTGATTGTGATTGAGAGCTGTACAATGATGATATGCGTGCTAAAATCGTTAATGTACCATGTTAAGCCTAAAATAGGCACGTATCTGTTATCGCATGTGGTATCTAAAGTATGTTTTACCGGTTGAACTTATCAGACACAAATTCATAAAAAATATATCTTTATAGCTCAAAAGGTGCGCATTTATGTCCGACATTCGTGAGTCATACAAGTATTAAGATTAACTAGGCGTGGAAAATCAGTTTCTATGATAGTAAGTACACACTCAGTGATGTCATCACTACATATTCAGTTGAGAATAATTATATCCCCAAACGCTCTATATACATGTATTTCACATTGTTAGACTTTCGAAAGACACTTAACGGATGGATGCATTCCTCGAACAACGTAACTGCCTCATATCATTCAATTGCTTGGTCGGCATTCTAGAAGTTGGTGATTAAAAAATGAAACACACAACATTATGGATGACAACTTCCCGTTTTTTTTGCATAGAGTCACGTTTTGTTATCAAGCTAATTTAGCTTGCCATCAATAAAGTTGTATGTTTCATTCGCATATCTTGGTGGTGTGTGATCATGTGCAGTGTACCCCACTCTGCCCACTTTTCTTAAAACAACAAAATGCAGTCAACCGTGAATGAATTGGCGGGAGCACAGTTATCAGTACCATTCACGGTAAGTCTGGGGACGCCGTGACCACTAATGAGAGGCCTGAATAAATTGGGAGCACATTTCAGAACATGATAGCAATATTTCACTTAGGCCAGACCAATTTTATTTCTTGTTTTATGGATTTTTGTCCTCAAAAACCTAAAGGCAGGAGGGATTTTTAAAAATAAAAATCACCAGTTCAAAGTAATATTTCTTTTAAATGCTAAAGTATTTTACTTTTGGCAATTTATGAAGTGTATATGGGGCAAAAACAATGACAAAAATATTTTGGGTAAGTTTACATTTTTGGCCAATAAAAACATTAGGATTTTATTTTTTTAGCAGGGATTTTTTTTTCTTATTCTTATAAAAATACCACCGGCGGATCTGTAAAACAAGAAATGTAATTGGTCTGGCCTTATATGTAAAAACAACATGTCCAATGTTATAATTGCAACCTCAGGTTTCTCAGATTGTTTCCCCTGATTTTTCATGATGTGATTGTTTTTCATGATGTTATTTATCATTCTTATGGTCATTGGTGGTGTTGCGGGCGCTGATATCGGTAAATAATGGTGACATAAAACAACTCTCTCACTCAGAAATGATACACAAGGGTCGTGACTGATGGACTGGACACTGGCTTGCCTGACACAGGTTTTTGCATTCAGTTGTGATTCAGGTGCATATTTCAGATTACGGCGTCAATAAGCACTCTCTCACTCTAGAGTGAGTGGTAGAACAAATTGTCGTGGCATGTGTGGTGGGTATACTGAGGTGAGGTGAAATGGGGTTTAACGTCGTGCTTGAGAATATTTCGCTCATGTGACGACGTGCATGCGTGTGTATGTGTATGTGCGGCTGCTTGTACTAGCCCAGACTTAAGCTGGTTTTATAGTGCTAGCCCACTGAGAGACCATGCTGCAGTGAAGCATGAATACCCCACTCAGACACATTATACTGACTCCGAGCCGACCAGTCCTTGTTGTACCCATTAATGCCGAGCGTCAGACAGGGACCAACAAGTACCATATTTTAACGTCTTTTGGTATGACGTGGTCGGGGATCGAGCCCGCGACCTTCCGCTCTTCGGGCGGACGCTCTAACCACTACACCACGGAGGCGGTCGTGGGTATACTGAACCATAATGATAATGAGTCGTGGAGAGTTCAAGGGTACTGCTGTTTGGGGGCGCTACCCTATGCTTGTTTGATTGTTGTGTAACTCAGCAATATTCCAGATATATGGCGGCGGTCTGTAAATAACCGAGTTCATCTCGAACATCGATCTACGACCACCCGATCCCGTTAGTCGTCTCTTGCGACAAGCATGGGTTACTGAAGACCAATTCTAACGCGGATCTTCACGGGTCCTCTACGCTCACGGGTACCATATCTTCAAACAAACACGTGATTGTATTCAAACATGGTTGATTTGTTGTTTAACGCCGCACTCAGAAATATTCCAGCTATATGGCGGCAGTCTGTAAATAATCGAGTCTGGACCAGACAATCCAGTGATCAACAGCATGAACATCGAAGACATGTGTCAACCAAGTCAGCGAGCCTGACCACCCGATCCAGTTAGTCGCCTCTTACGGGTATTCTGTTCTTTGAGTGGGGGTGACATGTAGGACATGCTTGCCGTATTCGTAGACACTTGAGATTTGAGAGAACAGTTTATGGGGTTTCCACCCCTGTTTTGCCTATCGGCGAATGATACAGACTCATTTTTCGCTGGTGATGACCTTTATATATTCTCTTTGAGAGCCATTTGCAGGACCATACAAATAACAGCCAAAAATTAAAGTGAGAGAAATTCTGTGTTAAGTTGGTGATAAGATGAAATGGTAGAGGTGATGAAGATGATTAAGATGGTAGAGATGATGAAGATGATTAAGATGGTAGAGATGATGAAGATGGTGGAGATAATTAAGATGGTAGAGATGATGAAGATGATTAAGATGGTAGAGATGATGAAGATGATTAAGATGGTGAAGATGATGAAGATGATTAAGATGGTAGAGATGATAAAGATGGTGGAGATGATGAAGATGGTAGAGATGATGAAGATGGTAGAGATGATGAAGATGGTGGAGATGATTAAGATGGTAGAGACGATGAAGATGATTAAGATGGTGAAGATGATGAAGATGATTAAGATGGTGAAGATGATGAAGATGGTGAAGATGGTGAAGATGGTGAAGATGATGAAGATGATGAAGATGATTAAGATGGTGAAGATGATGAAGATTATTAAGATGGTGAAGATGATGAAGATGATGAAGATGATTAAGATGGTGGAGATGATGAAGATGTCATTTAATACCCCGGATAATGGTGGATGAGTACTCAGTGGAATAGGGTCCGTAAGTAGGTCACGGCACTTCACGAGACATAGTACTTTCTGTGACAAATAACGTTTCGTACCTGTTCGAATGGTCTCATGGTTGTCAGTTGACAGTAAGGAGCTGATAATCATTGCATGAATAAAAAAAATCCGACCTAACCATCCCCAAATTAGCCAACTATCACGACTGTCAACAGCTGTGACAGCCAAGCATGGCTGTACTCTTGGTCCGGTCTAGTAGAGTCATATGTGGCGCTCGCGCAATTTGTACGCTTGTCACCGGAAATCTGGTAACGGAAGTAAGCTGGGCCCCGTTTCGCATATCGCAAGTTGGCGCGCGCAAAGGGAGTCGGGAACTAGCTCAGTACCGGAAGTAGCGCCTCGCGAGACTTACACGCCCGATACACGTAGTTCCTTGGACCCCTCCGCCAGTAGGATCACTAGAATGGGTTTCTCGTTTCCGTGTAGTACACGCGGTCCGTTAAGAAACCAGAAATGGGCTTTTCTAACCAGGATGGCAAATTTGTGTTAACAAGGTCAGCAGCAGTTTTGAAAGGGAGGTAACCCAGTTGATCATACAAAGGGAGACAATTCTGATCTATTTGCATAACACTGTCGAGACTGAGATCAAGCCTCCATCTATTCGCTGTTTCTGTGGAGTTTTTCCTTGTTGTACACAGCGGGCAGCTGTCAGGCAAACCGGCCCCTGTGATGTTGTGTACATAACTGGCTATATTTGGTGTTAATTGTAAATCTAAAAAGTCATATATCAACTCAGTCATTGATGTGGGATTCTCGATCAATTTTTCGTACAGCAGTATACCGACTCTTCCGGGGTAAAGTTTTGACAGTCTTACAGCATCTCTAACATCTCTCAGCACCATCCCACAGTGAGAGAAGGATGCTCTGACGTGGTGCTCTACCACATTCACCTTCCTCCAGCTGAGTTGCGAGAGTCGAATCCTGGACATGAGAGTTGCCCTTGGGTCTCTGACCAGGAGGATTATCTTCAGGTCCTTGTTCAGGTGGAGGATCTCCTCAGTAGCCTCCATCTTCATGCGGATGGTTTTGATTAAAGATATTTGTGATCCTTGACACTTTTCAATCAATTTGTTGAGACATTTTGATTCGAAATCGCGTATGGTTGTGTTATGGATGCAGTTGTTGTATTGAACTGTGGTTTTACTCTTGTCCATGTGGTGTTGGTGTAGGGTCAGGAGGTCCACGGACGCGAGGGAACACGAGAGAAATGCCTTCAAGATGTCAATTTTGTTTGAGTACTCTGTCTTCAGTGACAATAGACTGAAACAGACAAACACAGGTTTGATGTTGACTCACCTTCACGTTATATTGAGATACATTGATACTAGATATTCACTCAACTTGACGGCCTATCGAGATACATTGATGCTAGATATTCACTCACCTTCACGGTCTATTGAGATATATTGACGCTAGATATTCACTCACCTTCACGGTCTATTGAGATAAATTGATGCTTGATATTCACTCACCTTCACGGTCTATTGAAATATATTGATGCTAGATATTCACTGGCCTTCACGGTCTATTGAGATGTATTGATGCTAGATATTCACTCATCTTCACGGCTATTGAGATATATTGACGCTAGATATTCACTCACCTTCACGGTCTATTGAGATATATTGACGTTAGATATTCACTCACCTTCACGGTCTATTGAGATATATTGACGCTAGATATTCACTCACCTTCACGGTCTATTGAGATATATTGATGCTAGATATTCACTCACCTTCACGGTCTATTGAGATATATTGACGCTAGATATTCACTCACCTTCACGGTCTATCGAGATGTATTGATGCTAGATATTCACTCACCTTCACGGTCTATTGAGATATATTGATGCTAGATATTCACTCACCTTCACGGTCTATCGAGATGCATTGGTGCTAGATATTCACTCACCTTACGGTCTATCGAGATGTATTGATGCTAGATATTCACTCACATTTACAGTCTATCGAGATGCATTGGTGCTAGATATTCACTCACCTTACGGTCTATCGAAATATATTGATGCTAGATATTCACTCACCTTCACGGCCTATCGAGATGTATTGATGCTAGATATTCACTCACCTTCACGGCTTGTCAAGATGTACAGGTTCTGAGTATCAATTCACTGTGATGGCTTATCGAGATATACAGGTGCTAGGTATCAACTCACCATGGCGGCTTATCGAGATATACAGGTGCTAGGTATCAACTCACCATGGCGGCTTATCAAGATATACAGGTGCTAGGTATCAACTCACCATGGCGGCTTATCAAGATATACAGGTGCTAGGTATCAACTCACCATGGCGGCTTATCAAGATATACAGGTGCTAGGTATCAACTCACCATGGTGGCTTATCGAGATCTACAGGTGCTAGGTATCAACTCACCATGACGGCTTATCAAAATATACAGGTGCTAGTTATCAACTCACCATGACGGCTTATCGAGATCTACAGGTGCTAGGTATCAACTCACCATGACGGCTTATCAAGATATACAGGTGCTAGGTATCAACTCACCATGCCGGCTTATCGAGATCTACAGGTGCTAGGTATCAACTCACCATGACGGCTTATCAAGATATACAGGTGCTAGGTATCAACTCACCATGCCGGCTTATCAAGATCTACAGGTGCTAGGTATCAACTCACCATGGCGGCTTATCAAGATATACAGGTGCTAGGTATCAACTCACCATGGCGGCTTATCAAGATATACAGGTGCTAGTTATCAACTCACCATGACGGCTTATCAAAATATACAGTTGCTAAATGTCAACTCACCGTAAACGTATATCAAGATGTACAGGTTCCATATATCAACTCACCGTGACGGCTTATTAGATATACAGGTTCCAGGTGTCAACTCACCGTGACGGCTTATCGAGATACAGGTGCTAGGTATCAACTCACCATGGCGGCTTATCAAAATATACAGGTGCTAGGTATGAACTCACCATGGCGGCTTATCAAAATATACAGTTGCTAAATGTCAACTCACCGTAGCCGTATATCAAGATATACAGGTTCCATATATCAACTCACCGTGACGGCTTATTAGATATACAGGTTCCAGGTGTCAACTCACCGTGACGGCTTATCGAGATACAGGTGCTAGGTATCAACTCACCATGGCGGCTTATCAAAATATACAGGTGCTAGGTATGAACTCACCATGGCGGCTTATCAAAATATACAGTTGCTAAATGTCAACTCACCGTAGCCGTATATCAAGATATACAGGTTCCATATATCAACTCACCGTGACGGCTTATTAGATATACAGGTTCCAGGTGTCAACTCACCGTGACGGCTTATCGAGATACAGGTGCTAGGTATCAACTCACCATGGCGGCTTATCAAAATATACAGGTGCTAGGTATGAACTCACCATGGCGGCTTATCAAAATATACAGTTGCTAAATGTCAACTCACCGTAACCGTATATCAAGATATACAGGTTCCATATATCAACTCACCGTGACGGCTTATTATATATACAGGTTCCAGGTGTCAACTCACCGTGACGGCTTGTCCAGATATACAGGTGCCAGGTATCTTCCCCTGATTGTCTCAACAGAGAACAATGGTTCAAACACATAGAACACATCGGGCTGTTGCTGCACAATGTCAGCAGTCAATGTTGATCCACTGCGCATGTACGACAGAATTAAGACCTTCCGGGGCTGGGTCATCGTCCTGTCCTTCACCTTGACAGCTGTAAAACGATTCGGGTTCACGATTAATGCGCTTATATAGCCACGCGCATACTTACGTTAAAGACACATGCTCACAAGAAGATCAGTTCGTTTTGGTATTGTTTACATTTTAAATCTTAACTCACTCACTCATGCTGTAGCCTTTGCTCGGGCACTGACTACATAGTTACTGTGGGTGAGTGAGGTGAATTTTTCGCTGCCCTGATTGGTATTCCAGTTTCTACATCAGCCTTAGGTGATGCAACATAGCTTTGTACGTATGCGTGAGTATGTGTTATTTGTGTGCGCGCATGGGTGCCTGCGGACGTACATATGTATGCATTTTTGTTTGTTTTTGATTGCGTGTTTAACGCCGCACTCAGCAATGTTCCGGCTATATGACGGCGGTCTGTAAGTAATCTAACCAGGGTCAGACTATCCAGTGATTGACATCATGAGCACCTATCTACGTAGCTGACACACGATGACATGTATGAACAAACCAGTAAGCCTGACCACCCGATCCCATAAGCCGCCCCTACAACAAGCATGGATTGCTGGAGTCGAACCCGGATTTTCACTGGGGTAATTAGAACCGAACCTGCCACTTACATTGCGGGTGGTGATGTTGCAGTGTGTTGTTCACGAGGCTCATCCACAGGCACAGTATCGTCGACACACCCATCACCGAGAGCCAGCACAGGAACTGCCGCCTGTTTAACAACCGCCATTTTGTAAATACTGAAAATATAGAATCCCAATATATTATCATTTGATAACTTTTGATAGAGATATTTCAATTATCATATAAGACACAAAATGATAACCCATAAGGCTGTTTACCCAGGAAGCATTCCATTTCTCTAGATTCCTATGAAGTGTTGCTCAGGGCCTCCTTTCACGAAGCAACCGTTACTAAGGTTAACCTTAACTCCTATTCATTAACATTGCACTAAGGCTACCTTAGTGACTTACGATCGCCTTAGATTTTTTGTGAAAGGAGGACCTGTACAGTTGTATTTAAAGGGTCGATTCTGTCCCTTAAAGGCCATGGATGCTTCTCAGCCTCAGTTATCCTGGACTTTCAATCTTAAGGATGCCAATTAAAAGCTGATGTCTGTTAGCTCGTGCTTTTCGGTTTTGTTTTGTCTTACACAATTGTCTTAGTAAGTTATGATATGGCACACGACCAATCTGCAGGTATCTTCTCGGTCTGTCAAACACATTATCCGTTGTCCCTGCACTGCCCAGTACACCCACAGAACATGACTTCAATACCGGCCTGGGGCGGTGAGGTAGCCTAGTGGTTAAAACGTTGGCTCGTCACGCCGTAGACCCGGGTTCGATTCCCCACATGGGCACAATGTGTTTAGCCAATTTCTAGTGTCCCCCGCCGTGATATTGCTGGAATATTGCTAAAAGCGGCGTAAAACTAAACTCAGTCAGTCAGTCCGTTGTCCCTGCACTGCCCAGTACACACACAGAACATGACTTCAATACCGGCCTGGGGCGGTGGGGTAGCCTAGTGGTTTATGCGTTGGCTCGTCACACCGAAGACCCGGGTTTGATTCCCCACAGGGGCACAATGTGTGAAGCCCATTTCTGGTGCCCCCGCCGTGATGTTGCTGGAATATTACTAAAGGCGGCGTACTCATAATGTTGGCCTATGCAGACCTGTACGTGTGACCCTCTCCTATCAATCCCAGATGTGGGTTTGTGACGGCACTGCTAGAAATATTACACAAACATCGCAGTGGTAGTCACTAGAAGTTGTAATCATGTTGTGTACGACTCTCGGTGTTAAACAAGTGAGCCACTTGAGCATTCTGTAAGCTGATAGCCTTCAGAAAGACAGAGAAACGACGTCCCTGGTCGGTTGAGGCTATACATGTACAATCACATCGGTTTTTGTAAACTCACAGGACAAGCGTTCACCCTCAGACATTTCACTTGTCGGTGAATCCATTATGGGGACAAATAATCAGATATTCTGACGACGATGATTAGAAATTTAATCTACCTCTAAACATGATGCATAAACAGACAAAACCAAATGCGAAATAACAAAGACATCGTATCATACTAAACAGTGTCACAGGCGCTGAAGTCTGAAGTCAAATGTCGAGATTGAGACTATAGTCCGGTTGGCTCAAACGCGGACCGATGAATTGCAATCTAACTTGAAAACTAATAAACATAAAATACTCAATGAAACACTGATCATTATCAAAACGGCAGACCAACTCTGTGAGTATTTGGGGGAATTTATGTCCTAAAAATTAAAAAAGTTGTTTAACAATCTATCATTAAAATATTGACACAGTTCACTATTTGTTACGAGGGAGGAGTGCAGAGAAAGGGACAGCCAGGTGTGCGAGAAAGGATGGAGACGGCACAGCACAGGTTAATGAATCAATAACTTTGTCGGCACTTGTGCACGTGCTTCCCTAACCCCTGTCTGTCCCTTTCTCTGCACTCCTCCCTCGTAACAAAAGTGAACTGTGTCAATAGTTTAATGATAGTTTGTTAAACAACTTTTTAAATTTTAGGACATAAATTCTACAAACAAATCTCAGAGTGGGTCTGATGTTTTGATTATAATCAGCGTTTCATTGAGTGTTATATGTTTATTAGTTTTCGAAATAGATTGCAATTCATCGGTCCGCTTTTGAGCCAAACGGACTATGCATGACGTGAGCGATGTATATTTCTTTTAGCATACGTTTGATAGCTCGATAACCCATGTGCTCTCTGTTAGAGTGTTTCTCGGAACGTACAAACAATGGATATTATACTGGTTTAATATGTATTATAAACACCACCACGTGATGTAGTCCACGTGGCATCAGCAGCAGCTGCATCTAAACAAAGAGAAACGTATCCCATTCAAAGTCATCTTATGTAAAAGTATATATCTGGAAATAGGTAATGAAACCATATTGGGCTCAGAACAATCTAGACTTGCCAAATCATTCTGGACTTGATTTGGAATAATATCTTATTTATTCGCTATGGTCAGGAAGACAGACTGAAATACAGAATACACAGACATGTTGTTTGGCAACACTGGTATAGATAAGGGGGATGTGTTTATATATGTTCGTAACTGTCGGTTCGTGAAAGAGAATATATTTTCACAAAGCGAGTATTGTATGTTCTCTAGCTCTTTCATCAGTCGGGGGCGGTGGGGTAGCCTAGTGGTTAAAGCGTTGGCTCCTCACGCCGAGGATCCGGGTTCGATTCCTCACATGGGCACAATGTGTTAAGCCCATTTCTGGTGTCCCCCGCCGTGATATTGCTGGAATATTGCTAAAAGCGGCGTAAAACTAAACTCAGTCAGTCAGTCAGTCTTTCATCAGTCGACCGCCTCCGTGGTGTAGTGGTTAGAGCGTCCGCCAGGAGAGTGGAAGGTCGCGGGTTCGATCCCCGACCACGTCATACCAAAAGACGTAAAAATATGGTACTTGTTGGTCCCTGTCTGGCGCTCGGCATTAATGGGTACAACAAGGACTGGTCGGCTCGGAGTCAGTATAATGTGTCTGAGTGGGGTATTCATGCTTCACTGCGGCATGGTATCTAAGTGGGCTAGCACCTTTCATCAGTCACCCGTGAAGATCTAGGGTTAGAATTGATCTTCAGTAACCCATGCTTGTCGTGAGAGGCCGACTAACAGGATCGGGTGGTCAGGCACGCTGACTTGGTTGACACATACCATCGTATCCCGACTCCGTAGCTCAATGCTCATGCTGTTGATCACTGGATTGTCTAGTCCAGACTCGATTATTTACAGACCGCCACTATAAATTTAGCTGGAATATTGCTGAGTGCGGTGTAAAACTAAACTCACTCACTCACTGTTTCATCGATCAGTAATTCCTCTATTTTTTTTGTGGCTAAATACTTTATCGTTTCAAGAAACGTTTCTTTTTTGAAAAATGAACTGTGTTTACATCGATGTTTAAATCTTGAAATGCAGTTGTGGTTAAGTTGTCCCATTCCGAATAACGCTCCCGATCCATTAAGTCTGTGGTGTGTATACTATACCTACGTATACACCACGAATTATGTCAGTGTCAGAGAGAGGTATTTTGGCCCTCGGGGAAGAATGTGTTTTTAATGTGCAAGAAATTTTCTTAACACACGTGGCCCATTGCGTGGAGAATAGATTGTCGGCTGTTCCGGTGCAAATATGAATAGATTAAACTTCATGAGAAGAGTTTAACGGAGGTTAAAGGTGATAATTGTGTGGTCACCGATACTGGAAGATTAAATACTTCTCCCTCCCTCCCTCCCTCCCTCCCTCACTCACTCACTCACTCACTCACTCACTCACTCACTCACTCACCCACTCACCCACTCACTCACTCTCAGATAACATTAAACAGTTGATAATGTACACTTTAAGTTGAGATAAGTGGCGAGACACTCTCTGTCTCATGTCAAGGTAACCGATACAAAGCTAACCTGTGATTACAAAGTGTAATCCCAAATGCAAACACATGGTAAACATGACGCCTTCGTGCTACAGATGGCATGTTGGCGGAGACTCCAATATTTCTCACAACCATAAACGTCACCGTTAGATAACGTTTTTGTTACGAGTGTTTTACGAGGTTTCTAAAAAGCGTTTTGAAAATATAAATGTGGAAATAATAATGTGATCCAACGAGGACGACTGGCGTATTTATTACTCACGACATTGGACATTATTTACATTTATAGGTGAAAAAACGTTGTTTGTACACGAGGTGAGGATGAGTTCATCAGTTGGCATCAGGCCCGCAGGCTGACGTCACTAAGCAACCTCACAGAGAAATCCAACTAGTCGAAATATGTGGAGCTTACATGCCAGCCTAGTCACGTGACATTGTTTTAAGATCTATATTGATAATACTATAGTAATATGTAATATATTAAGATCTGGGTTAGAATTGGTCTTGGTGGGGGTGTGTGAGGGTGTGGGGGTGTGGGGGTGCGGGGATGTGGGGTGTGATGATGATGATTTTTATGGAGAAGCATGTACAATGTGAATGACCCCCTTACATTTATGTACAAAGTAAGTACCCCTCGTACACGTCATGTACAAAATCAATGATATTCCCCTATGTACAAAATTGCTCACTCCCTATTACATGTGTACAAACCTGATGACTCCCCACCCCCGCCCAGAAAAACGGGTGACCCCTCTTTAAATCATCATCACGCCCACCCACCACCAGCCATAACTTATGCACGGTACCTAAACTCACTCTCTCACTACTACTACTACTACTTCTACCAAACACATCATTTACATCCATTCAAAACACAACAATAAACCTATCGGGAATTGAGTGACACGGAATTATCGTCGAGTATGAACGTGTTGACTGCCCAAGGAAATTAGCATGACGAGTGCAAACAACGCGTAGTAAACGTCATTTCTCCGAAATAAATTCCTTGCAAAATCTCCTGGCTCAACAAATGTCAAGTGTTATGACAGATTACCCTCTTTTGAATAGGACAGTCGCGGCCCATCAGACAACAACAGCCAATAAAGTCGTGTGTCCGGATGAATAGGGGGCTCATTGTGAAAAGCCCAAGTCAGAATAACGACTGAGATTCACACAATGCTAGATGTAACATATGCTATACATGTATTTGGTATTTCACTTTCTTAGTAAAGCACAGATTCTAGTACATTTGGTTGTGTCCCACCCGGGATTCGAACCCAGACTCTCAGAGTCACACCTAATCGCCAG